GAACTTGGGCGATGGCGTCGGTCAGCACAAGCGCAGCCCATTCACCACCACCACCAGCATCACCACCAGCATCACCACCACCAGCACGATCAGCACGATCAGCAACATCAGCACTGCCTGTGACCCTCCCACCCAAAGCAGGAACCACCTCCATCTCGCCTGCTGTGCTTGTGCTTGTCCTGTTTGGTTGAGTTTTGGGGTAAATCTTCAATCAATTATCCACACACACGCTGTGCTGTGATTGGCTGCGTGCACGTGGCGCTTCCTCACATCAACCAAAAGCACACACCTTGACCTCAACCAGCCAGACTACCCACCAACCCCTACCACCCCAAGCGCATCCCCGACCGCCACGATGACGACGTCTCTGGCAAGCCAGCTGAAGCAGCTGGCCTTTGCGCAGCAAGGCGTCGCAGGTGCCACCCGCGCGCACCAGTATGCGTCGCTGCTCTTCTCGGAGAAGGATGCCCAGTCGTTCACGCTGGAAGAAGTTTGCGAGATGGGCAGTGTCGGCTACACGCGCCTGTGCGCCGTGGACATGGCGTCGTTCCAGCCGTTTGCGCCCCTGTTTGGCACGGCCTCTCTTGATGTCAAGCGTGCCATGCAAACCAAGGAGCAGAACAAGGCCCTGGACCTGCAGATCTCCCGCTTCATGCGCGTGCTTGCGCCCCACATGCTGATGCCCGCCGCTCACAAGTGCTTCGAGTGGCTGCTGCGCAGGTACCAGGTACACATGTACAATGTGGATGCCATCATGGAGGCCATCCTTCCCTACCACGGCACCGCCCTCTTCACGCGTGTCGTCATGCTGCTTGTGCTGAACCACGAGCGCAAGGAGTGGCACTTCCTCAACACCGTGAAGACGGCCCGCGTGCCGCTGGACCGCCTCTCGCTCATTCGCCAGTGCAACTCCAACCGCAAGGTGCTGTCCTTCATCTGCAAGATGGTGTTCGCTGCCTACAACAACAAGCCCGTGCAGCCCTCCAAGCTGACGCACGTGACGGCGCTCTACGCGTCCATCGCTGCCGGCAGCATCACGGCCTCGCCAACCCAGGAGGTGCTCAGCACCATCCTGCCCTTCCTCCTCCGTGGCCTCAAGCACGCCAACAAGGACATCTGTGGCGCAAACCTCATCGTTGTCGCACAAGTCGCTACGGCAACCACCCTCTCAGATACCGCCATCGAGGCAATCGCAGAGGCATTGTGGTGCGTGGCTGTTGTGTGCTCTCCGCTGGTGCAACTTTGCCACGAGCGTGTGTCAATCTGTTCTTGCATGCACGCGTGCCGCAAGCAATTTCACAAACATGATCGTATGCCCCACCTCTCCACGTTTTCTCTTCTCCGATCTTCTTCCCACTTTCCCCCATATGGAATCGCAGCACCTTCATCGTTTCTCAAACTCACTCGACTTTGATCACTGGCTCACATGTTCACGCCCCCCTCACACACACACATACACACACACACACACACACACGCACACACATACATACACATACGCACGCACACACATACATACATACACATACGCACGCACACACATACATACACACACATACACGTGCATGCTTTGGCATACCTCGTGCAGCCACTTCCAAGACAACGAGCAAGACATGCAGCGGCTGCAGGCGCTGTCTCTCCTCTGCACGACGCAGCGCATCCAGCGCGTGCCCATCACGGCCATGGCACACTTGCTGAAGCGCGAATCGCTGAGTGACGACCTGATCGCGCTCGCACAGAAGTTTGACATTGACGCCCTTGCGCAGTCGCTTGTCTCTGCTCTCTGCAAAGGGTCCCAGGAGGATGTGGACAAGCTCATGGAGCTCCTGCCAACGCTCGAGGCATGCTGTGGCCAGGTGGGCGTCGCAACCACACATGCATGAACAAGTGGCGGTGTTGATGTGCTGTGCTCCTTCAAACTGTGTTGCGACAAAATTACGCTTTGCGGTCAATTGCCCCCAATCGCGCCCCCCCTCTGTCGCTTTCTCACACGTATACACATGTACACACACACACACACACACACATGTACACGCACATTCACAAACATGTTTACACACATGCACACACATACACATACACATACACAGACGCTGGACGGCGTGATCCAGAAGCATTTGAGCGCCCGCCGCGACTCGTCGTCCATCCTTGAAAGTCTTCGCAAGCGGCGCCTGTTTGGCGTACGCTTTGCACACGTGTCCGAGCACGACGTGAATGTGTTTATGGGGCTGCAGCACGACGACGCAGCCGTGCGCGCTGCCTCTGTTGAGAAGATTTACGAATCCTTGCAGCAGGTCGACACCGTCAGCCAGCGCGACAAGGAGGTGTGTGTATGTGTGTGTGTGTGTGCGTGTGCGTGTGCGTGTGCGTGTGCGTGTGCGTGTGCGTGTGCGTGTGCGTGTGCGTGTGCGTGGTGAATCTCTTGTCACGTGGTAACTGCTTTGTTTCTGCATGCACTCAATCCAAGCCGTCTCTCTCCCCTCTGTCATGCTTATCTGTTTCCGTTTTTTTTTCGCTCGCGCGACCACTCACCCCGCCCCTATGTCCTGCATCTGGCGACAGTTTCTGAGCTCCAACCTGTTCTCCCACCTGAAGGAGGATGACAGCGACGACGTGCGCGTGGCGTGAGTAGGACGCCATTCATCGCAATACCATGGCTCGCTCGTGATTAACCGTTTCTCACCCTCTGCAGCCTCGTGGCGACGACAAATCAACAATTGTGAACACGCACCTGTCCTACTAGTCATCCACGCGCTCATTCATTGCACTCAACTGCTTTCTTGCATTGTTGTCATGTCTTCCCCTTCGTTGCAGCATTCTGTCCCAGCTGCACCTTCTCCTCCCACTCGTGCCCTTTGATGCATGCGTTGATGCTTGCACCACCGCATTCACCGAAGCCTTTGAACTGGTGCGTGATTGTGTGTGCGTGGGTGCATATGTGTGTGTGCAAGTTACATGCTTCATCCGTTTGTCGAGCTCGGACCCTGCTTGTGCGTGCCTGTGCGCGAGGGGTGGTCGTGTTCCTGTTAATCTGTGAGTCTGTGTACTGCCATAGCACAAGCACAGAGACACACACAGACACACACACAGAGACACACACACACGCACACACACACGCACACACACAGACACACAGACACACACACACACAAACACACACACGCGCGCGCGCACATCCCTCATCCCTGTCGTATTTTCTCAAATTCGTTGCAATCTTGCTCCTGATTCTCGAATGGCGACAGGACCATGCACAAGCGGCAGAGGCGGCTGCCACCGCCATCTGTAACGACCTGGTCGCGTTTGCCCAGGAGTCTCTGGACGGCGACAACGCAACAGCGCGTGTGCAGGCGCTCAACACCACCATCCTCAACACGCTCCTTCCTGCCGTGGTCTTCCGCCCACAGCGGTGCGTGCATGCCAGCCGTGTGTCCGAGTGAGTGTGGACTTGGGCACTCGTCATCCAAGTGTGTACGTGTTGGTGTGTTTGCCGTGGTGGTGTTTGTTGATGAACTGTGGCTGGTTGAAACTACATGCCAAGTTTTGTGTGTGAAACACTCATCACTTTCATGTGATCGGACATTTGTTTCGGGTGCAGGTTTTCGGCCACGTTTGCTGTGGTGAAGGTGCTGGCCGAATCAGCTGCAGCAAAGACCATCCCCCTCTTTGGTCCCCTGAAGAAGTGCCTGACACAGCTCACCAAGGTATTGTGGCGCTGCAGATAGCGGTGTCATCCCCATCACACACGTGCGACTGTTCGAACTCACAATCACACACTCACACACTCACACACACACTCACACACACTCACATGCACTCTTGTCGCATGTATCTTCTCAACACAATACCCATGCATTCATGTATCCATTTGCTTGGCGGGCTTTTTCGTTTGCGCATTGACGCAATACGCTTGTAGCTGCAGGAAGGTAACGCAAAGGCGGCACAACTGAGCAGCGTGGTGACCCACTGCTTGGCCAAGGGGGTTGCCGCTTCCTCAGAACTCATCTCCTTCTTCAAGCCCTCCAGCCACGCCGTCATGTTCGTATGGCTGCGCATCCTTTCCCTCGGCGCATCGCTTCTCAACAAGGTGACTACTACTTCTTCCATGCTGGACTCGTCACCAAGTCTTGCGCGTGTATCGTTTCTTGCCCACATACACACACACATGTACACGCACACACGCACACGTGCAATCGCAGTGTTGTTCCTGCTCCCACGCCACACTGCCGCTTGTTCATCCTATTCAACCCAACACTCACCGCACGTGGTGGCGCCCCATCTCCCTTGTGCTCGCTGCAGGCGAAGCAGGCGACGCTGGACATGCTGCTGACGGCGCTGACATCGTACTTCACCGCATCCCACGGCATCACAGCAGGTAACGAACGCAACGCTGCTCGCCCATCACGTGATTGGTCTTGCGCTGTGTTCCATATCCCACACCTGCCTTGGTTCTTGCTTCCATGCTGTTTTCGTTCATCTTCTGATGACCCCACGACACGTCTCCAGTCCCTCCATTCGGCCATATCTTATCCCCATTCCCCCATTCCCCCATTCCCACTCTCCGCCTCCGCCTCACTCCCACTCCCCTCTGCATGCCCATGTCCGCTGTCACCACAACTCCCCCCCCCCCACAGATGACGTGAAGCGCGCCATGCTGCACACGTCCAAGACGGATCTTGTGTGCGAGGCCGTGCTGCCCATGCTCATGCATCAGCTGCCACAGCAGACGCAGCAGTGGACGCAGCACCAGCGCGCCCTTGCCGCCGTGTTCAGCGCAGCGTGCCTTGCTGACATTGCCGCTGCCGAGCACATGAGCGCCAGCAGCCCAACCAAGCAGTCACGACACGCCCTCCTGTGCGCAGCCACCTGTCCTATTCCACAGCTCGCCCAGCCAGCACTTCGCAACATCCTCCCCGCAGCAACTCCGCATTTGCGCGTGCGGATTCTCTCGCAGGTTGCCTTCGCCGGCACCGCACCGGCATTTGCACAGATGTCGTGCATGTATGTGATGTGCAACGCCATCACAGATGTTGATGCGGCTGTGGAGGCTGTCCCTGCCGCGCTTCTCGGCTGCTGCCACCCCGACACCGCCGTCAGGCGTGCAGCTACGGTAGCCCTCCGCGCAGCCCACCAATGGCTCCAGCGTGCCCACCTGTCTGATGCCTCGGCCGCCACCACGGCCACGAGTGCCAGCACGAAGAAGGGCAAGAAGGGAAAGGACAGCGAGGAAGCCCCCGTTGCTGACGCCGTGGCCGTGCAGGAGTGCGCGCAGATTGCCGAGTATCTCCTGCAGTCTGTGGACGACATCATCAGCGATGCAGCCAACCTGCAACAGGCAATGGCGGTGGCTGTGAAGCCGTCACGCAGCAGCGGTAGTGGCAGCAGCAAGAAGCGCGCAAAGCGGTCGCGCCCATATGAGGCGCTCATGGACCACCTCCTCACCTGGGCCAGGCAGACGTCGTTTGTTGCTCTCACCCGCGCAGCACAGGTCCTGCGCGATTGCGACGTGCCTGCCCGCGCCCGCGTTGCTCTCAAGCACGCCACGCACCTCGTGCGCACCTCCCTGCCGGGGCTTGCAGGCACTGACGAGCAGCAGCAGCAGCAGCAGCAAGAGAGCGGTAGTGTCACAAAGACGCCGGCCAAGAAGGGCAAGAAGGGCAAGAAGCAGCAGCAGCAGGAAGGCCATGGCAGTGCCGACACGGCTGCCACTGCACCTGCAGCAGATGCTGACGCAGCTGATGAGCAGAGACAGGATGTGCCGGCAGCAGTTACGCCCTTGACAGCAGCAGTTGAGGCGCTGAAGCTCCTGGGCGGAATGCTCACGCCCGCTGCGGCCCCCGTCGTGTCGCAGGAGCAGACCTTGGTCAAGCCCCTGCACGAGCTGATTGCCGTGCTGCTGGTGGGCGCGCCAGAGGCTGGCGTGTGCGCCCCGGGCCAAGTGCCGTCGCTGCAGCACAAGTTCAACGTGGCGACGTCACCCCTGCACCGCGCGCTCGCCGCAGCCAACACGTCCGGCCACGCCATCCTTGCTCTTGGCGTCCTCAAGCCCGACACGTTTGCGCACCTCAACAAGCCCACGCAGGCAAAGGCGGTGGAGCTGCTGGTGGCCCTGGCCCACACCAACACGGTGTCGCACGACACGGTGCGGGAGTACCTTGCTAAGCTGCCGCTGCGCGCGGAGATGATTGCAGAGCAGCTGTCGAGCAGCTTCAGCGGCAATGCCGAGGACGAGGAGGAGGAGACACGCAGCAAGCGCGGCAAGAAGAGTGAGCGCAAGGCCCGCGGCGCCAGCGATCAGGGGGCGTCGGAGGCGTCCGAAGACACCATTGTGACCGGATTCGCCAACGTCACGTGCATGCTGGAGGCATTGGAGGTGCGCGACCTGGCCACCGTCAGCGACGTGCAGCTGCTTCTTCCCGTGCTCAACAGCATGCTTGCCTCCTACCCGACGCTCAGCGACGAGCACCAAGCCGCCTGCCACGGCCCAGTGCACAGCTTGCTGTCTGTGGCAACGCGCATCCTTGCGCTGCTGCCCAGAGGAGGCGCTGGGAGCGCCAAGGCCGGTGCCGCAGCTGGCACAGCCGCCGAGCTCGTGGATGTGGACTTGGTGGTGAAGGTGCTTGGGGAGGCGCGACGGGCCGACATGCAGAACCAGGCACTGCTGGTGCTGAGCGAACTTGCACGGCTTGTGCCTCGCCAGGTCATTTCCTGCTGCATGCCCATCTTCGCCTTCCTGCGCCAGCCCTTCTTCCAACCCGATGACGATTACACGCTGCAGGTTCTCCAGCGCACGATTGAGGCCATTGTGCCAGCCATTCGCGCCGGCGCCACCTCAAAGCGCCAGGAGCACTCGCTCCTGCTTGACCTGTGCGGCGTGTTTGTGGACTCGTTCTACACGTTCCCGCACCACCGCCGGCGCGGGCTGTTCGCCCACCTCGTGCAGACGCTGGGCGTGCGTGCGTTCCTGCACGTCGTTGTGCTGCTGCTCATGAAGAAGGAGGTGCTTGACCCGCGCGGGTTTGAGGACGACCTGAGCAACCAGTTTGTGGCCACGTCCTCCCGCGTGCAGCGCGCACGTGGCACGGGCTCGCAGATTCCGTCGTTTGTGCTATCGCTGTGTAAGGTGCTGCCGCTTGAGGACCACCTGCATGCGGTTCTCATGGTGATGCGCGCCCTGATGGTGCTCCCCACCCTCGGCAACAGCAGCAGCAGCACACCAGGCTCCCAGCAGCAGTACCAGCAGCTGTTTGGGGCCACGGCGGCGCAGCAGAGCGACGAGGAGCACTGGGACGCAGAGCAGCTCCGCTGGCTCGTCACGCGCATGACATCGGGCAAGGCCACCAAGCCGAAGCACGTGCGCCACTGGCGGTACCTGCTGGTGAACCAGGTGCTGCGTCACGTGGCGTCGCGCGGTGTGCTGCGGCAGCTCGCCGCCTTGGAGCAGCAGCACGCACGCAAGGACGCCGAGGCACGCATGGACACGGCGAGCGACGCGGACAGCGCCGACGAAGAGGACGGCAGCGACGATGAGGCTGCTGATGAGAAGGCCAGCAGCACCACCATCGATGCAGCGGCTGCGGCCAGGAGCAGGCGAGCCATCGTGCACAAGCTCAACCTGCAGATTGCCGAGCTTGCGCTGGAGCTTGGCGGGCTGTACCGCACGCAGGCTCGGGAGGCGGCTGTGATGAACGAGGAGGCGGCAAAGAAGGCCGCCAAGCAGACGAGCCAGCAGCGTGCACGTGCGAGCAGCTCTGCTGGCAAGAACCCTGCGGGCACGGCCGAGTACTGGCGCCGCCTGCGCAACGACGCGAGCAAGGTCATTCACAACGCGTACGCCGTGTTGGCCCTGGACGACTTTGTTGCGGTGTGCCTGCGCCTGCTCGGCAGCGACAACGTTGCCACGCAGCAGCACGCCGTGGAGATGATTGCCACCCGTGTGGAGGCTGTGGCCCGACACAAGACGGCCGTCACCGCGCACGAGCTCAAGACGGTGATGCCCATGTTGCCTGTGCTTGCGGCGCTAGCGCAGCAGCAGAGCGGCAGCGTTGACGCCGAAGACGAAGGCGCAACGGCAACGGCAACGGAAACGAACACAGCAACGGCGACGACGCACGTGCCCGATGATCGCCAGATCAAGCTTGCACAGGGTGCAGCGCATGCGATTGCTGTCATGGCGGCGCGCTATGCTGCCGAGGAGCCCGACATGTTTGTGGAGCATGCTGCGGGCATTCTGTCGATGATTGACGTGTCCAAGGGCACGCGCACCTTCTCCGTGGTGGCGACGTGCATGGCGTCGTTTGCTGTGCTTGGCAGCGTGCTTGGCCTCAAGCTCCTGCCGCACTTCCCGCCGCTCATCCGCAAGGTGGTGCACGTGCTGACGTCCACCATTGCGCTGGTAGAGCGTGACGAGGCTGCCGCTGCCGCCGGGGAGACGAGCGCCGACCAAGGCCGGCTGTCGTCGGGCGTGCGCTCGCAGGCCATGCTGATGCTGCAGTCCTGCTTGGACCTGGCCACGGTGTGCGTGCAGCAGTTTGCGCCCATGCTCACGCAGAAGGTGCTGGAGCCATTTATCGTGGCCTGTGTGCATCCGTTCATGTGCACGCGTCGTGATTCACCCTTGCCAGAGGCGCTGGTGGGCAAGGCCATTGCCCTGCGCACGCTGCTTGCCAAGCGCGTGTCGTGCCGCCACATTGTGGAGGCCGTGCCCGGCTGCTACCGCCAGGTGCATGTTGCACGCGAGAAGGGCACTGTTGGCGAGCTTGCAGACAGCCTGCGCGCCCTGCTTGGCATGGTGGAGCAGACGATTGCCGCAAGCTCGGCCGAGGCCGTTGGTCGCCAGGCCGCACACTTGTTCCGCTTCTTTGCCACAGCGCTGCAGTTCCGCTCGCAGCGGCGGATGCACCAGGTGCAGGCAAGCAAGAAGGCCGGTGCAGACGGCGACGACAGCAGCGACGAGGAGGGTGAAGACGAGGATGAGGAGGAGAGCGAGGGTGAGGTGCGCGAGGCGATTGTGCTGGTGGAGGGCAGCGCCATCTCGTGCGTGTGCGCGATGGTGCTGCACATGTCAGACCAGTCCTTCCGCCCCTACTTTGTGCGACTGGTTGACTGGGCGTCTGCCAGCGTCACGAGCGCCACGCCGTCGTCGTCGTCCTCAGCCTCCACGGCGTCACGCGTGGTGACGCTGGCGCGCCTGGTGCAGGAGCTTGCCAGCCGCCTCCGCCACGTGTTTGTGTCATACTTCTCCACGCTGCTGCGCACGTTTGTGCAGTTTCTGACGAACCAGGGCAAGTGCCTGACGCGCCTTGGCCCAGACGGCCCCGACATGGTCAAGTACGTGTGCGGCGCGCTGTCGCTGTGCTTTGCCAACGACCGCGACGGCTTTGTGACGCCGGAGCGCTTCTCTGTGCTTGCAGAGGCGCTCACATCGCAGCTTGACGTGCACTCGTATGCGCTCGAGGTGCTGGGCGGCGTCTCGGCCAAGGGTGCTGGCGATGCCGACGCAGACAGTAGCGATGGCAGCGACGACGAGGACGATGAGGGGGAGGACGAGGACGTGAGCCGTGTGGGCTCTGTGAGCGAGAGTCAGGAGGAGTACTTGCAGCGCGTGCTGGGCGACGTTGTGCCGTGCATTGTTGAGCTTGCGGACAAGGGTGGCGAGGAGAACCAGCTTCGCGAGTTGAATAGGTTGATTATTTCAAAGTGCCACGACCCCGAGGCGACAGTGCGTTTGGGTGCCGTCAAACTGATGCAGGCCTTGTACGAGCGCATGGGCGAGGAGCTTCTGTCTTTGCTTCCGGAGACCATTTCCGTCCTTACCGAACTTCTTGAAGGTGCGTGTGTGTGGATGTGTGTGTGGGTGTATTTGGCTGTGTGTGTGTTTGTTTGTTTGCGTGGCTGTGCGTGCGTGCGTGTGTGGGGGTTTGCTTCCGTGCGTTGTCCGACTTTCCATGTCTGGAATGGTGTTGTGATGTCTGATTCTGCCCACCGCGCTCACCGTGCTCACCGTGTTCATTGCTGTTGCTGTTGTGTGCTGGTACAGACACGGATTCGAGTGTGGAGACGGAGGTTCACAAGCTGATCGCGCACGTGGAAAGCTGGGGCGTCGCACTGAAGGATCACTTGTGATTTGGCCTTTGGTGTGTGATATGGTGATGATGTCGCAGCAGATGGGACTTGGATGAAATTTGGAACACATACAGAGATTAGTGAGTGTTGTTTGTGCGTGTGTGTTTGCGTGGTGTGCGCAAGTCTGTCTGCCTTATGTTTGTGCCAGGTGTTTGGCTATTGTCCAGCGTTGAGAAGTAAACATTCGTGCTGACTGAGCTTAGGGCCTAACATAATAATGAATGAACCAGTCACCAAACAAACGTTTAAACGGTGCGGAGGTTGTGGGTGGCCTTGTTGCCTCCCTCCTCGTTTTGCACGTTGGGTGTGATGACCCGTCATGTACAATCCTTGTAGTGAAGGACCGTTGTCAAAATGCACAGAAGTTGCATTTTTGCAATGTGTCGGTTCGTTCTGGTCGCCGATATGGCACGACGCCGACTCGCCCATCGCTTACTACAACAACAACAGAGGGCGCTGAAGAGGGCGATGGGAGGGGCACAGAGCTTGGTCTGGGTTGCAACCCTGTCGCTGTGCGTCGTTGTGCTCCTTGCAGAACATGGTGCTGGTGTGCTTGCCGCAAGCGCACCGGATGAAGCTGGTCTCGAAGGAGGTCGTGCTCTGCAAGCCTTGTCATCCTTGTCATCGCTCACAACGGCACCAGCCACTGCCACGACAACAACAATGGTCCAAATTGGTGTTCAACCCTTGCTTCAGCGAGTGTCTTCGCCCCTCACCACCACAACGAGGACGACTACCACCACATCAACAACAACGACGAGGACGACCACCACCAGCACAACGTACACGCTCGCGCAGTTTGCAGGTCACACTCAAGCTGTGAATGTGACCACACCAGCCGCCAAATCTTCAACGACAGAGAAGTTGGTCATGTCCCTGACCACAAGACCTCTTGTCACCACGACACTGCCCTTTCAAGGGGATGGTAGTGGCTCCGGCAGCAGCGGTTCCGGCTCGGGAGGAGGCTCGGGCCATGACAGCAGTGTGGCCACTCAGCGAACGACGACAACGCCACTGCCCACACAAACGCCAGTACCACGCGGTGGATTGTCGACGGCAACAGCCACGGTACCAACCAACTGTCCTGAAGGCAGCTGTCAAACCACGTCCACAGTTGAAACAACAACAACAACAACAGCAACAGCAGCAACAGCAGCAACAACAACGACGACGATGATGACGACGACGATGATGATGATGGCAACAGCAACAGCAACAGCAACAACGACTACGCGTATGCAGACCGTCATGCCGTCAACAGTGTCAATGCAGGATGGAACTGATGGTGATGATGCAGCGTCCTCCCCTTCGGCACATTCGTTTCTTGGCGTTGCCATTGGCATCAGCATTGCGTCATTAATCGTCGGTGTGCTCACCCTGGCCACCATTCTGTGGCGTTCTCGAGCTGGGCGTCACAAGGCCACTGCCATCACCACACCGGCAATGCAAGCCCTGGCTATTGCCGCGGGCGAGGTGCATACGAAGGGCGTGCATGTGTGTATTGTTTGTGTGTGTTCGTGTTGTGTTCGTGTTGTGTTCGTGTTGTGTTGTGTTATGTTGTGTGGGTGGTGTACGCGCGCGTGTGTGAGCATTTGCTTGTTCGTGTGCGTGTGGTGTGTGTGTGTGTGTGTGCGTGCGTGCAAGTGCGTGTGTCGACGTTGTCATTCATGCTTTGACGTGGCAGCGTTTGCGTACTCGTGGACATCAAATATATTCACACGCATCCACGATACAACAAGCTCATATTGACTTGTGCTGGCTTGGCTTGTTCTCCAGGGAGAACCACCCCGACCTCCTGTGCAGACGAAAGGGGGCCCACCATCAACACCTGCACCACTAGCGCCGCCACCGTATTCTCTGCCAGGGGACGTGCACACGTTTGCCACGGCGCCTTCGTCGTTTCTACCCGAAGGCAACACTGACGCCACCGCCGAGTCGTGGGGGTTTGAGCCACCTTCCCCAGGCAACTCGCTTCTTGAGGCCCAATATGCGCGCACGCTTGCGCATGGCGGCGGTGAGGGGTGCATCGATGTTGATGATGGCCACGGGCCCAGTGGCGTGTTACCCTTTCTTGGCATTGATGAGCTTGATACACTCGACTTTACACACCGGTCTTGCGAGCAGGTACAGCTGCCTCTGCAGACGCTGAATGCAAGCATCGGCACGTTTGCTTTACACACAGAGCACGGCAATTTGGGAGAGCAGCAACAGCCTCACAGCTACCAAGATCACGGGTTGCTCAGGGCTGACATGACTGCTGAGGTGATGGATACAGACGTCGATCGTGCCGGGTGCCATCGCAGCCATATCACCGCTATCTCATCCCGGACGTACAGCAGTGGTGGCGATGGAAGCAGTGGCAGTGGCGGGAGCAGCGATCACCCCAGCAGCGACCAAGACGGCGATGAAGAGCTCTCCTCTTCTCTATCATTGGCATCGTCGTTCTCAAACGACACCTTCTCGGTTGTCGTGCATCCAACCACCATCGCCGTTGCTATCATCAACAACGACATGCGGACCTTGCGGTGTGTGCAGGTGTGCGTTTGCAGATTGCTTGCTCGTGTGTTGTGTGTATTGTGTTGTGTGTATTGCGTACTGTGTGTGTTGCGTGTTTGCTTGTTGTGTGTATTGTGTGTTTGCTTGTTGTGTTGCGTGTTTGCTTGCTTGTGTGTGTCCTATCGGTTGTTGTCTTGATAATGGTACAAGCAGCAGCTCGTCTCGGGGGTGTCTTGAACACGACGCCTGCTCTCATAGTTCCACACGTTGTCCTGTCCACTTCGTGCCTTCATGCGCTTCACCAACATCAGAGCACTGGTGCATCATGAGAAGGTTCCGGATGTACAGTGGTGTGCAGACAACAAGGAAACGCTGCTGCACCTGGCTGTAAGAGTAGGCAATGTTGAGACCACGCAATGGCTTGTTCGGTAAGTGGAAGGCTCCAACATGATTCGTCATGTGAGTTGGGTGAGGAAGGTTGGTGGAGTGGTGCATTGGCGGGAGTGGTTGTCGTGCGTCCAAGCAGTTGCGTATGGAGGTGTATATATGTAACTGTCTAGGAATGCAACGGAAGCATGCACGCCCAACGAGTTTGGCGCATTGACGTGCCGTTAACGTGCTGTTAATGTGCTGTTGATGTGCTGTTGGTGCGGGCGCGACAAAGCCCCACAGCACATGTGTTCATGTTACAGTTTGTGACACTCTTTCACCCATCTTCTTCACACTGTCTTGTTGCTCTCTGGAACACTAACACCAGACACGGCGCCGATGTGAACGCACAATCTGAGAACGGCAACACCAGCCTCCACATTGCTGTTGCGCAAGGTACGCTATTGCTGCTGCTGCTGGCGTTGCTGCAGTTGGTGCTATTGTTCTCAGCAAAGTTTGCATGGGTGAATGTGCATTTCAAACCAACTACGTGACAACCGCAGAGCTTGCTTCGCAATTGTGCCACGTGCATGCAATTGTGTGCACACATACTTGCATACACGTACTCTTGGGCCTATGTGTACGCCTCCACAAGGCTTTCACGCATTCACGTACCCAACACATGTATCGAACATGACCACAGGCCATGTCGAGATTGTCTCGTACTTGTGTGCGCAGCCATCGTGTGACATTCGCGTGCAAAACAGCCTTGGGCAAGATGCGCTCATTCTCTCCGTGATCTACGTATGTTTGTGTGTGCGTGTGCGTGCGTGTGTGTGCGTGTGTGTGTTTGCGTCATCGTGCATCTGTTGATACGTCATATCTGCGTGCGCATTGCGTGTGCGGTGAGCTGTTCATTGTACAAACTTGCATGCGTACAACGTGCAAGCGCTGCAAGCGCAAGGACTCAGACTTGTGCAAGCTCACATCCTTTCTGAACGTGTTCCACGTGCGTGTCGTTCGCTCTTGTACAGGGTAATCCGCGGTGCATTGAGGTGATTCCCATTCGCAACCAGGCCTACGACTTTGACGAGCAACGAGACATTCACCGTCGCAACGCTTTGCACGTAAGCGCAGGATGAGGGGGATGGAGGCTGCTGTGTGCGTGATGATTACACTGCACATTGGGTTTGATCCTTGTGTGAGTGCGCGTAAATGTGTGTGCATGTGTGTGCATGTGTGTGTATGTGCGTGTGTGTGTGTGTGCGTGCGCGTGTGCGTGTTTGTGTGCACGTATGTTTGGACGTGTTGTGGGGCCGTGCTTGAATTGAGGTCTGTGCTTCCAGTGCATGGCTTGTATTGATGCACCATTCCGTTCACCATCACTTGGACCTTGTGCAGTGGGCAGCTGCGATGAATGACAGCTTGAGCTTCCACATTCTCCTTGGTTGCGGTGCCGATCTGTCATTGCGCGCACGCCACGGCGACACTGTTGTGCACATTGCTGCTCGCGGCAACGCCGTGCTGGTGAGCTGGCGCGGTGGAGGAGGAGGAGGAGGAGGAGGAGGAGGAGGAGGAGGAGGAGGAGGAGGAGGAGGAGGAGGAGGAGGAGGAGGAGGAGGAGGAGGAGGAGGAGGAGGAGGAGGAGGAGGAGGAGGAGGTGGTGGTGGTGGTGGTGGTGGTGGTGGGAATGGTGGTGGTATGCTTGGTGGTATGCTTGGTGGTGGTGGTGGGAATGGTGGTGGTGGGAATGGTGGTGGTGGGAATGGTGGTATGCTTGGTGGTGTTGGTGGAGGTGGAGGTGGAGTGGCGCTATTGAGTGGTGATGGAGGTGGAGTGACCGTATTTGGTGGTGGTGGGGGCGTGATTAGATGTTGTGTTTGTTGCTGGGGCCAATGTGCGTGCAAGACGCTTTACGGTTGCTAGTATGTGCTTGTGAACGTGGACGCATGCGTGTATCTGTGTTGTGTCCACACTTCCGCTTGCTTCGGCGTTGCCTTCTCACACGCCGCCACATTCTGCATATGCCTTTCCCTTCAATCAGGTGTTGGAAGTGATTCGCCAGTCACTGAAACCAATTGAGGTCAGAGGGTTTACCAAGAGCCCAAACTACACGGGGATGACGCCACTGCAGGTGGCAGAGGCAAAGGATTGCTTGGAGGCAGCGGCCTGGCTACGATACTACACGGAAGGTCTGTTGAAGAAAGAGCGAGTGAAGTAGACATCACGTGAACCCCTCCTGCTTTTGAACGCGAAACACATGTTCGCGCACACTCACACCAGGTACCGGTTGACAATGCACTGTGCGCCATTTCTCACAAACGTGACTGTAACATGCACGTGCACGCACACATGTCAAACTGCACAGCCCCACTCTCAAACTTTTCAACGCAGCACGCCTCTTCTTGCTTCTCTGGCAACGCAGCCACCTCCATCCACCCAGGAGCAATCGATCACTTGACATTCAGACATGACGTGAGTGTGTATCACTTCATCGTTGTGGTGCGGATGTTTGCTATGCTCGTGGTTGTGTGTGTGTGTGTGTGTCAGTTCTTGGTTATGTGTGCGCGCACACACACACACACACACACACACACACACACACACACACGGTCTGTTTGGCTCACTGCGTTCCTGGCTTGGTTGGTTTGTTGGTTGTTAATGGCAGAATGCGAACGCTGAATCAAGCGCGGATTGCTGAGCGGGCAGCAGCATCGTGACAGACAAGGTGCAACGAAACAAAACGCGTAGCAACATGTGGCAGGGTTTGCACACCCAAACACACACTGCGAGTGAGTTGCTACACTCGCAGCATAGGGTTAGGCATCTGATTTTGTAGACAACATCAATAGACCAACACACATACAGTCAACGTGGGTGTAGCGATGGTGGCGGTGGTGTTGATGGTGTGATGGTGATGGTGATGGTGACGGTAGCGGTGGTGGTGACAATGGCAAGCCTGCCAAGGACGACACGTCACGTTCTGCTCGTGCTGGTGTCCCCTGTGTGTTTGAACATGATCGTGTTGAAGCCACCCTCATCCTTGTTGCGCATAATCATCATCGTCGTCGTTATGGTGGTCATGGTTGTCGTGGTGGTCGTGGTGGTCGTGATACGCGTCACTTGGCTGGCCTTCGTCGCTTTGGGCGTACGCGGCATCAGACGGCTGCGCCTGTTGGTGATGGTATTGGTGGTCGTGGTCGTGGTCTTGGTATTGGTGGTCGTGGTTGTGGTATTGGTGATGGTGGTATTGGTGGTCGTGGTGCTGATGTGAAGCCGTTGGTGGCGGCCGTTTCGTTGCTGGTGCCGACGATGACGCGGAATCAGCTTGCTGGTGCGTTCGCTTGCGGGCCTTGTCCCGTTGCTGAAGTACACATGAGTGTGAGTGTGAGTGTGAGTGTGAGTGTGAGTGTGAGTGTGCGTGTGAGTGTGCGTGTGAGTGAGTGGACTTACGATCTTTTCTCTGAGCGCGTCCGGGTCTGGATTTGGATCCTGCAGCGTTCGTGATCCGAGCGAGCGCGAAATCCTGTTCACGAGCGCGCGTAAATGTGTTTGTGAGGGCTCGGGGCAGGCATACACCTACCCACCCACCCACACACACCCACCCACCCACCCACACCCACCCACACACACACACACACACACACACACGTCCGCACCTGACGGAGAGGCGGGCAGCAGCCCTGACAGCGTCGTCGCCATCGAGGTGGCGGTGCTTCCTGCAAAACGCAAGCAGAATCTCTGCTTCGGCCTTGCAGTCGTAGCAGTGATCAAGGCCTGGCGAACAAAGGGAAGACAAGTGGTGGTTGAGGGAGAGAGGTGGAGAGAGAGAGAGAGAGAGGTGGAGAGGATAGAGGGTGCGAGGTGATGCGTGTACCAAAATGCAGTGCGAGTGTGGGGTGTGAGTGTGGAGTGTGAGTGAGTGGTGTGTATGCATGTATGTAGGTTGGCACTTGTGCGTGCACACCTTCTGTTCCAATGAGTGGGTGGTGGTAGCGTGCGACGCGGCGGTGCGTGTTGAAGTAGAACATCTGCTTTTCATATCTGGCGGTGTCGTGGTGGCAGCCGGAAGAGGTGGGGGCCGGAAGTAAGAAGTGCGTATGTGCATGTGATTGTGCGTGTAGTTGAAGACGGAAGCCTGGGAATGTAAACACACAGACAGATAGACAGACAGACAGACAGACAGACAGACACTTCCATACACACCTGCGATGGTCGTAGGATGAGAAGCCTGATCCTGGGATGAGCCGGGTCTCTGTTGTCGTCACTGCACCCCACACGGGGAAGCGCAGCTCGCCTGTAGCCACAGCGGTGATTGGAGCAGAATAATGGAGATTGGATGGTCAGGGAAGCGATGTGTGAATTGTAGGCAGGTTGCGTGAGGTCGCGTCTTTGGAAATTCACAGAACAGTAAAGAAGCGTCGCGTTGCTGGAGAGACAGAGACAGGAAGAAACACAAGCGGTACGCAGGTACACACGTACGCAGGTACAGAGGTTCGCAGACACAAAGACACACACACACACAGACACAGACAGACAGACAGACAGACAGACAGACAGACAGACAGACAGACACACACACACACACACACAGACACACAGACACACACACACAGACACACACACACACACGGCACCCTGAATGGCGCACCGTCAAGGTAGTCGGTGCTGCCGTCCTCCCAGGGGAGCCGAAACTTGAGCATGCTCTTGTGCGGTTGCATGAGATTGTGCATCGCCATCTGCTGCTCAATGTCATCCAGCAGTGCCAGATTCGCATCCTGGCGACCACAGGCATGATTGGTGTTGTTTGGAGGGCAAGGGGTGCGGTGGTGAATGGCACATATTCGAACGCGCACACACAATTGGTCACACAGATGGTGTGTCGCCCACATGACACACACACACACACACCTGGTTTGACATGCCGAGTTTTGTTGTTTTGATCTCGGAGATGTAGAGCACCTGCTGCCCGACAAACTGCTCGGCCTTGCTTGCGTCCAGCGGCGCCTGTGATGCGGTGGCGATGGCGACGACGGGAGGGGCGGGGGTACAGACAGAGAGGTGTGTGCAATTGTGGGTGAGAGAGATCCTGGGTGTGTGTTTATAACCACGTTGGAAGAAGCATACCACAACACACACGCACATACACACACGCACGCACACACAGACACACATGCAATACGCACACACAGACACACACACACCTTGACGGTCGTGAAGTTGAAGTCGTTTGGTTCGAGGCGGGTCGTCTCATCAAACACGTACACCTGGGTGTAACGACGGTGATGGTTGGAAGTTACGTTAATCACTGCAGAGTCATTGACACGATACATCAATCGTGGAGCTACGCTGGCAACTCAGGCACATGTTCAATCATCTCCATCACACACAAACAGACAGACAGACAGACACGCAAACAAACAAACAAAGACAGCGACCTTGGCATCTGGAAAGAGTTCTGAGAGGACGCGAGCGCAGCCGACAGAGAGGATACCAGAGTACACAATCGGGTGGCCAGGCTGCCAGTGCTCCGTCAGGAACTCAATGGCCAAGATGAGCGCCTCCCGCTGGCCCCAGTGGATCACTGAAGTGGCCATGTCAGTGTTGTGGCGGGTTTGGACGGGTGCAAGCGGTGTGTGCGTGTATGTAAGCGGTGTGTGCATGTGTGCGTGTGCGTGTGCGTGCGTGCGTGTGCGTGCGTGTATGTAAGCGGTGTGTGCATGTGTGCGTGTGCGTGTGCGTGCGTGCGTGTGTGTGTGTGTGTGTGTGTGGCTCAGAAAGGAGACAGCGCATGTGCTCGGGAACCAATGCTTGAACACAAGACCTCAAGAAGGAGAGAGAGAGTGTGTGTGTGTGAGGCAGTGCCGACGGGACGACACACACACACACACACAGAGAGAGAGAGAGACATACACAGACATACACACAGACACAAACACACAGAGACACACACAGAGAGACAAACACAGACAGACATACACAGAAACACACAGACACAAACACACACACACACAGAGACACAAACACAGATAGACAGACAGACAGACAGACAGACAGACACACACACACACACACATGCGCACCTGATTTGGTTTCGTCTTTTCGACGACGGTACGGGGCCACGGGGTGGTCACCACGCAGTGTGCGAGTGAACGGAAGGTTGTCCACGCTCTCGTAGCCTTCATTGGCAATCACCTGAAGGGGCCACCAGCATCGTGGTCGCAAGTACGTGTGGGCCAGAGAGACGAGGGACGTGTTGGGACATGTGAGCGGACAGACATGGAGGTGTGCAACCAACCACATGTCCACTGGTCGGGGATCACGGCCTCACCTGCTGCAGATGAGGGTTGGAAGCGACATCAGCAAACTCTGGCTTGTGAGACCACCGCTGGTCGTGTCCCTCCTGCTGCTCATCTCCACCAGCGCTCTGTGCTTGACCTGCCAAGAAGATATGCAGCGTAGATGCCAGTACATCGACACACACACACACACACACACACACACATACACACAGAGCAGCACAGGGTCATCATTCATTGTCAGTGGGCAGTGGGTGTTCCACGTATCAGCGTGAGCACACGCAGACGCACATACATACATACATACATACACACATACATACATACACACACACATACATACATACATACACACATACATACATACATACATACATACATACATACATACATACAGACAGACAGACAGACAGACAGACAGACAGACAGACAGACAGACAGACAGACAGACAGACAGACAGACAGACACAGACACACACACACACACACACACACACACACACACACACACGTGCAGCGGCTGGCGGGAGTGTCCATGTGGTTTCCTTTGTCTCGGTGTTCTGAAAGTACCAGCGTGCACGGGACCTGGACCACACTGCCCGCCACGGTGCAGTGCACGCCGGCGGTGCAGTCGGGTCGCGCAGGCTCATCCCCGAGTCGTCTGTTGTGCACTGTGCTCGAGCTCTCGCTTGATGTGTCACACTACTGCTCCTCACTGAAAACAACAGCAAGCAGGGTTCTGGGTGATATTGGGTGTTGGAGTTTTGTGTGTGTGTGCAAGAACGAAGCAGGAGAAGATGGATGTGGAGGAGGATGTGCTGGTGTTGGACGATGATGACAGCCATGATGGTTTGGCGGTGATGGAAGGGAAGGAAGATGAAGGGAGCCCCGCCCATCGTGGTGGTGACAGTGAGGTAGAGGAAGAGGCAGATGGAGAGGAAAGCGAGAAGAAGCTGCCTGTGGTGGTTGGAACCGTGAGCCCGAGGCACGCCAGCCCAGTCGGAAGCAGTGACGGCGATGCTGCCACCGTGAGCGAAGCACGAACGTCAACGCAGACAAAGGATGGCAACGATGGCGCTGGCGATGATGAACAACGTGCTGGTGGTGGTGGTGGTGGTGGTGATGGCTCACAGGCCAAGCGACGCGCATCCGTCTTCAACCGGCTTGGTGGCGTTGCACCGGCTGTTGGCCGTGCGCACGTCACGCAGCGGCTAAGCACCGGCGATGGCGAGCAGGACAAGACGACCCAGCAAGCACCACCAAGTGAGTCATCGCAACAGGCACAGCAGCAGCAGCAGCAGCGCGCTTCGAAGCGGGCCAAGCGATTGGCAACAGAGCCTGGACGTGTCCGAGCACCCCGCATCTTCGCCTCCGCCATCGACACCATCAAGCAAACGCAGCCGATCGGCGCTGTCAGCGGCGCCGCCAGATCTCGCGTATCGGTGGAAGGTGGCAGTGAGGACGACGACGCCCACAAGCACATGTCTCGATCGTCTCGGCGCCCACCTGTTCAGCAAAGCACCACCCAGCACCCAAAGGCTCGCCCCTTTGAGATGATCCCTCTCCCAGGTGCGTGCGTGTGTGAATATGTGAATATGTGTGTGTGTGTGTGTGCGTGCGTGTGTGAATATATGTGCGTGTGTTTGGTGGTTGCGCGCGTGGGAGTAGTGCAATCCTCATCTGCTTCACGCCCACCTTGCCACGCGTCCATTATTGCAGACATTGCAGACGAGATTCCCTTTGGCAACGGCATCACCTTGGAGAAGCGCGTGCGTATCCACTCGTCTGTTGTCTGACGGCTGTTCTGCACCAACGCCCCCGTCTTTCATCTACACCCTCTTCTTCTAACTGCTTCCTCCCTGCTTTCTTTGCTTTGGTGTTCACATCAACACGAGATCTCACCACCGCTTGCTGCTCACTGCTTACCCCTCAACCTTAGCACTTTGTCCGTGTCAACGCAAGCGGCAACCCGAGCTGCTTCAACGATGTACGTCAGGCAAAGAGAGGCCACACCACCTCGCTTGCTTTTTCGTGTGTGAGTGCATGTGTGTGAACAACCACACACACACACACACACACACACACACACACACACACACACACACACACACACACACACACACACACACACGTACGTTGACGCGCTCCCTGCCTCGCTGGATCATGGCATGTCGCACAGGTGTCATATTGGGACATTCAAGAGCGATTGGCGCCCGCCATATCCGCCATCATGCCGCCAGAAACGACACTGCAGCCATTGCGAGACCTCTCAACTGCAGAGATGCTGGGTGTGTGTGTGTGCGTGTGTGAACTCGTACCTGTGTGTACTTGCCTGGTTATCACCCTGGTGCTTGTGTCTGTCTGCTGTCAGTGTTCCCTTCCTCCACTCCCCTCTCGCTGAGCTGTCACATCACACCACCGCTGATATGTATCATACATTGTGCCCACGACCACTGCAGTGCTGTGGCTGCACTGCCCGGCCTCCACTGCAACAGAACAACTCGTGCAGTCGCTCAACGGCCGCGTCCTCAAATTCATGGGCGTAAGTGATGTTATCCGCACTGCTTCGGAATGTGTGCGTGTGCATGTGTGCGTGTGCGTGTGCGTTTTACCTTGACACCCATCTCTGTCACACCATGTATCATTCTCACCACCACCACCACCACCACCACCACCACTACAACGCGGCAGGTTGTTCACCCAATCACCATCACGGCCGAGGTGCTGCTCCACCACCCGCGCCAGCCGCCAGCCGACCTGTCGCACTCGTGGTTCACATCGCACTTTCGCCATCACTACGACGACACTCCTCGTGGACAGCGGCCAGACACCGTGTACGTCACGCACCTCCCTGTTCGCTGGTTTGCGCGCAGCCGAGATCAGCTGAGCGAAGGGGATGTGGCACAACGATTCGCTGTCTTTGGACACGTGCATCGTGTTGCACTCATTCGCTCCGAGAAGGACCTGCAAGTGGACGCGCAAGTGTTGAGGAGCGCGCGTGAGAACGAAACAGATGTGTCACATGGCCTGGACATTGTTTCCACCGGGTACCACGGCCGCAACAACGGCGATTACAACAACGACAGCAACAGCAGCAGCGGTGGCGGTGCAGTCATTCCAAGTCAGTCACAACATGTTGCGCGTACGTGCGTGAATGTATGTGGGGTGAGGATGTGTGCAACGGTTTACATGCGCAATTGTGTTGCACACGTCTATGTGTGCATGTGTGCATGGTCTGTGTGTATTCACCAAACGTGAACATGTGCATGCGTGCGTGTGCATGTGTCGTTCAGGTCCCCGAGATCTTCACTTTGATGCGTTTGTGCAGTTTGAGCAGTTCGAGTCTGCACTTGCGTGTGCGCGTGCGTTGAACGAGCGCTGTCTTTCCCGCGTTCGCAACGGCCGCCACTTTCAGGTGTGTGTTCGTATGTTTGTGTGTTTGTTCATTTGTATGTGTGCATGTTGTTGCTACTGCGTGTAGCACTACAATGCATGTCTTCCCGAACTAATCGCGCCGCGTCCATGTTCACAATCACCACCACCACAATCACCACCACCACCACCACCACCACAATCACCACCACCACCACCACCACAATCACCACCACCACCACTTCAGGTGTTTGCAACAGCGGCAATTGACACGAGCTCATTCCTCTCTGATGCGC